TAGAGCTATAAAGCACAAGAGGGAAGCCTAGTCCATAGCTTGATTGCGGTTTATCAAGACTTACCGCAACTTGCCTGTGGCGCACTTCACGAAGGAGCAAGAAAATCAAGGTCAGTAGCCTACTCCGCAGCTATACCGCGGCTCGCGGCCTTGTGGCGCAGCCCAGTCACAGCCTCTTGATTACCAACGAAATAGTTTTAGATAGTATTTTATTTATCACTTTTACATACATTAGTTTAGAGTTTTTTTGTTATCACGTTCTTCGACATTATTTTCTAGGGTTTTGCTTTCAAGATTCAAGATTTCATAATTAACTTCAAGTATTAATTTTTCTTCTCTTATTCTCTTAATTAATCTGTTTATATGCTTTCTTTCAATATTAGTTTAGTTTATTCCATTATTATGTGTGAGTAATTTCATAATATAAGGTCAGGTTGAACCCTAATATGGATTGATTAATGTGTTATTTAATTCCCAATTTCCAATTTAATTAATTTACAATTCCTCTTTATTAGGGCTGGTTTTATTATCAATGATTAACTAGAAATAGTATTATTGAATATGATTAGGTCGAAAGTTGATTCTTAATTGATTTTAGACCCTTAATTGAAAGTAAGAGCCTTTATGCATGAAAATAGCCAATTGTTCTTGCTATAGGACTCATAGGATGTCGTTCTTAATGTCAATGTGTATGATTCCATTAAAATAGGTTTGATTGCATGTTAGGGAAAGCTATTAGTTGATCGAAAGAAACTCTTAGTATTGTTACAGGTAGGAATGGCAGCGGATCGGATTCGAGTCGGATGGAGCTTCACCCGCATCCACCCGCTCACTCCATCCGCTCCACCCGATCCACCCGTCACCCGCAAAACCCATCACCCTCATCCGATCCATTTGTCATCCGCGGGTGAAACGGGTGGATCGGATGCTTAACAGATGATTATTATAATTTCTAATAATTTAAATATAAAATAGAAATCTAGTAATTTAAACAAAAAAATTAGACATCTAGTAATTAAAAAAAAAAAAAGGAATTTCAACAGTAATTATTAGATGATTAGAAATTACAAATAAACTATAAGAATAAATTAGAGGAGGTGTGTGAGTATGTGACGACTGTCGTCCTGCCGCTAATGAGAGTAACCGCCTAAGTATCGCATCCCGCATGTAAGGAGGGTCGTGGTGCTGTTAGTCTGACGGAGTGCCCTACCGGTGAGGCAGTGAGATTGAAACTAAGAGGAGAGTAAGAGTGAGAGTGAGAGCGTTCTTTTTACTTTGAGAGATTGAGAAACTAAGAGGTAGCGTTCAAATAAAATTAGGGGTTAGGTTACCGAAAATAGAGGATTTTTTTTTTGAAATCAATATATAGATTAATTAATATTATATAATTTTTTTTTTAAAAAAATGTTTTAAACAACAGAATTATAGTACATGTCAATTTTTTTTTTTTAATTTTGTATATGTATCGGGTGAAAAACGGATGACGGATCGGGTGGTGGATGAAACGGAGGCCCACCCGAATCCGACCCGATCCGTCACCCGCTTCATCCGTCACCCGCACTTCATCCATTTAATGCGGCATTTCGTCCCTCCAATTAAATCGGGTGGATCGGGTTAGCGGATATCCATTTAATATTGCCATCCCTAATTACAGGGAGCATTTGTCTTGCGGAATATTTATTGGTTTAATTAAGGAAAAGGGATTGTTCGATTGCATTTATTCATATTAGTGGGGATACTTTATCTTAGATGTCTTTAGTTCTTGATTAATTCATTATTATAATGTTCGTTGCTCGATAGTTCGTAATTGTTCTAGTATAGGTTACTTTATATTGATTGGTTACTTGCTTAGTATTAATTTGAGTCTATTTAATTAGTTAGTCCTTAGTCTCTTGGGATTCGACCCCTACTTGCTTAACTACATAGTAGAGTTAGTTCGGTTATTTTTTGTTAGGTAAGCGACATGCCTATCAGCTTGTGCTCTACTTTTAGGTCGTCCATGGCAAATCGATCGTCATGTCATCCACAATGGCAAGACAAATGAGTATTTTGTGCTTATGAGGGATAGACGATTGCTCCTCCAACCTTTACTACCAAGAAGGCATTTGCCTACAAGTAAACAAGAGAGTTCTTACCGTGAGGAGGTGCTTGATACTACCACTACTAAGAAAGATCGACATCGCAATCAAGTACTACAATTGAGGAAGGGTACAACATTGGATGTAGGTGATCAAGTTTGGTTGTCACTCATGGCTCAAAGGCTTCATGTAAATCACAAGGATGGTGAACCTATGGATTAGGGTCCGTTTGAAATCATAAGGTGGAGTATGAAACCTTCAAGGTCCTATTGGGTGATGGAATATGTGCTACTTTGTCTTCATGCGACCTAGTTCTTTGTTTTCACGATGAAACTTGAGCTCAAGTTTTTTATCAAAAGGGGGAGTATGATGTGTATCCAAGGAATCAATATCATCAATTTATTTATTTTTATTTACTTTTATTGAGCCGTCTATTAATCATGAGGTTGAGTGGCGCGCGTCAATCTAAAGTTACTCGTGATTAATCGAATTAGGGTTGGAGTAGAATTAGTAGATTTATTAATAATATATTACGAAGTATTTTCTAATATTATTAGAAGATATATATTTTTTTCTATTTAGGATTAATTTTTAGTATTTATATATTTTATCTTTCAGTTATCCTAGCAACATGGGATGTTTGCCTATAAATAGTCTTTATTTTCATTAATGAAGGCAGAGAGTTTTGAATTATAATTGATCAATTTGCATGAATTTTTTTAGCAATAGAATTGCATATGATATTTAATGAGAAAGATAGAATTAGTTACATACACCCAGGTGCACCGACGCACCATACACCCAACTAACCCAAAGTTAGTTTTTGCTCTTCATTTATTGATTAAATAAAAGATAATTACAAAATCTCTTAATTTGATGATTAAATAAAAAATAATCAACAAAATGAGTATAAGATACCCATGGGTGTACAATACACCCGGGTGTATATAACAATTTAGCTACTAGTTTAGTTGTTATTTAGTCTTGATTAGATTAAATACTTTCATATCCCCGGATTCTTGAAATTTTATGAAAATCCTATAAAAATACGCATCAACAATGACACGTGTCACTATTTTATTTGTTTTTTTAAAAAATTCCTAAAATGACCCAGCCACCCCAGCCCCACCATCGCCACCTTCTTCTCCACCTACCCTAACCCAATGTAGCCGCCGGTGAATCCTCTTCCCCTCCCTTTACTCGACCCACCTTGTAGGGAATATTTCAAGCATCAACTTTAAACCCTACTGTGATAATGCATTTAAACATGATGGCGTCCAAAAGGAAGGATGCTAGAGCAAAAGAGTCACCAACAAGTTTTAGGAACTTTTAAACCGTCCACGAGGTGAAGGTTACACCTCATTCACGATCATAGAGATCGCTAACTCCATAGTGGGGTTGAACCATGATTGGATATTCGGGGATAATGGTACGAATTTAACCTAAAAGAGATTGAACCCTTCAAGAAGCAGTGACTTTGCTCCCCAAATACTACGCCAAGTATCGCTTGGGTCAAAGCCCCTCCTAGCCTTTAAAAAATCAGAGTGTTTAAAAAACTTGGCTTTTAAGACTCGATGTAGAACGAAGCGTATCCCCACCTTGCATCAACCTCCACCCTTGCTTATAAAAGTGCTTGATTGAACACCTTTAGAATGCAGAAATTCATCCCCCCTTTTGATTTTAGAAGACATAGAGTATCCCAACTCTTCCAATGCATCTTGTTCTCTACCCCATTTCCCACCAAAAACGAGCCAAGATCGAGCGTATCTCATCAATAAGGCCATTGAGAGTTCTAAATACACTCATAATGTAAATCAGATTGGCTTGAGCAACCGCTTTAATCGATACCTCTTCTCCTGGCTTTATTTGACAAGAGTTTTTCCTTCCACCCTTGAAGTTTCTTCCAAATTCTCTCTTTAAGCCCCGCAAAAGGCGCCTTTTTTGATCTCCCAAGTATTGTAGGTATCCCCTTGTATTTTTCATGCCGATCAACCTCTTTAATTCCAAGGGACTCACATATATGTTTCCTCCTATCCGCTGTGACGATTTTGCTAAAAGTAGCCTCCGATTTGCTAAAGTTAAAACCACTCCTCCTCCCGCCCCACCGTCGAGACCACCCACCTTCCACACAAACTTGACCGGAATATCCCCGTACCCCAGCCCCGTCCTCGAAACCACCCCAAACTCAAAGCCCCACCCCAAACCACTCAAAACCCGCCTTAAAGTCGAAACCCACATCACCATAAACCAATCGAAAACCACCCAAAATCAACCCCCTACCCCGAAACCACCCTCTACCCACTCGGGAAACACCCACAAATTGAAATGTCACCCCAAAACCACCCTTAAATCACGCCAAAATTCAACCCCGAAATCAGACTATTAGATTTAGGGTGAGGAAGGGAGAAAGAAAGAAAGCGAGGAATGGGAGGTGCTGGAATCCTTGGGTGGGCTGGACATAGAGGTGGAGGTGTTGGTTTCCGGTTGGGTTGGAGTGGGGAGGAGGAGATTGAAGGATGGAGGTTCACAGTGGGGATGGTATAGGGAGGGGTTTTGTTGGTTTTTCTTTATTTCTTTTTAGTTTTTTTTTTTACATTTTTTAGACCAATAAATGCTCGACACGTGGCATATTAGAAAAATTAAAAAAAATTTAACCTTTTCAGCAAGTTGCCAATTTTTGAGATTGAACAAAGAAATCCAAATGAAAGTTGGGATTATTGCAAAATAATCAAAATTTGAGATTATTTAAAGTAAATCGACAAAAATTGGGATTATTAAAGTATATTCTTCCTTTCGTAAATTAAGGGTATATGTTCATTACATTTTAATAGTATGTTCTTTTCATTATAGTTATATGTTCTTCACTTTTCTATATTATGTTCTTTCATGCAAAACGGCTGTACAATGCAGCGTACCGGCGCCTGCAGGAACCATTGATTGATAATTACTGATAATAACCAAGGGCCAGAACTCCTGAAGCCAAAATTTAATCTTTTTGAGACAAAGTGATGACAAGTACTTCACTCCTAAATCCTTTTATATTGCCTGTTTCTCTCTCATCACAAAACCCTTCAAACAAATTCAACTTCAAAACTCATCAAACTCTTCAAATTCGCAATTACAAAACTCCTCGATTTTCACGCCCCAGTAGAAATATAGCAGTGATGTCAACAGAGGCTGCTGATCAAAGCACTATAATTGCTGAAAAGATGAATAATTTGCTTTTTGTTGAGATGGGTGTTGGTTATGATCAACATGGGTGAGCAAATTTATTGCATAATTTCTCTTCTTTTATAATTATAATTTATTTATGAATTTTTAATATTAATTTTAATATGAAAAACTGGTGGGTAATGGTGAATTCAGGCAGGATATTACTTCTGCTGCAATGCGGGCTTGCCGGGATGCTATTTCTTCCAATTCTATCCCTGCTTTTCGTAGAGGTATTATCCGTCTTTGTCAAGTATTTAGATTAATCAATCTCACATGTATAAATAGTTAGATGGTGAACTTTTTAATGGTTAGTCTAATTAAATTAACTATTACCCCCTTCCGTCCCTTAAAGATTGTCCTCGCCGCGTTCGGTAGCAATGTAGCATGTTATAAATTGTGATATTAAGTGTTTATGATGTGTTTAGACACCTTTGTGGCTTTGTGCTAATGTGAATATGTGATGATTCCGATTCTCTATTTATTGATGTGAGATTGTTGAATTTACAATTGTTTGAAGCATCAATTCGTTTTCACTAAAGCAAAAGCACTACTCCCTCCATATCTTATTAAAGACCTCATATTTTTAGGCTTCAAGGTTTTAGAAGAGGACTTGTAAAAGTGTAGAGCGATGCTGATTAGAGTTGATTTAAAAGGAAGTGTGATACGAAGTATAATTTATTTATTTTTCTAGGGGAAGAGAGAAGATATAGAGCCATTAGGGAAGATAGATGATTATAACTTTAAAAGTGAATAAAAAAGTAGTGGATTGTGTATCTTACCCAAGTAAGAACGAGGCTTTTTAATGGGACAATAGTTTTAGGAGAACTAATGGCTTTGTTTAGAGACTGAGGAAGTATTCGTATCACTGATGCAATTGTACAACATATGCAAAGAGGATTACAAATTACAAGATATACACCCTGGCTAGGAATTATCAAATGACCTGTTTCTAATGTAATGCTACACCGGTCAAATAATTAGTGATCTTCTTGCAAATGCTGACATTTTAAATAAATTGGGAAAACTTGTTTATCTTTAACATACCCATGTAATACGAACAGTCATGAGGTGGGTAGAGAACTAGTAGCTCAAAATGAGCTCTATTAAGGGACTTGCAAAAAGCATCGATAAGTTGTTCTTTGCCAAAATATATGTGATCAAGCTGAATTGTAACGCAAGACACGATGCTTCATGCATGATATGAAGATAACTTGTTATTGTAACACATTATATGATATGTTTTCGGGAAAGTTTAACGCCAATTTCAAGGAGAAAATCTAGAGAAGTCTCTATATCTTGTATTACACTGTTAGTAGAAAAAATAGGTATTTCTTGAAGCTCAAAGAAATAGAATTGCACCTAAGATAGATGAGATATATGGATGTCCATTCTAGACATAGTTGTTAACTTGTTACTGCCTCTGGCTATATAAAAAGGCATGAAGCCCCACATTGGAGAGTTTTTTATGGAGAAGGTGATGGTTTCGAGTACCCAACCAATAATGATACTAATATTGACCTTTGGTTGGCTTATTTGTAGTTTTGGACTATTTGTGGATGGTAAAATCTGTGTGAGAGAAGGGTATTGGACGCTAGGAGAGTAGAGGTCTCATTTAGCTTCCAACTTTTTAGAGCATGGGAGGTCAATAATGTACTTCTGTTGGGTTAGGAAGATGTCTTAAGGTGCATAACAACTTGTTAGAAGTTGTTTGAAGAAGCGGTGATGAAGTCATTGGCAACAACAGGGTGTGGTCTAGTGATTATTGTGACATCTATGTAAACAAGAACATAAATAGATGACATACCTTGTAAGAGAATGGAGGAACATCGGAGATGGAGATGTGGATTTGGTGGGCTTTGAGAAAAGTCCAAAGCTGTTGATACCAAACTCGAGGAGCTTATTTGAGGTCGTATAATGAGTTTTCGGGGAACACATATGATAGGGATGAATCTGAGAGGATTCAATGAGTCTGAGTGGTTTAGCTATGTATATATCTTTTGTCATGGAACAAAGGTGGAGGATTGCTTATATTATTCAGAGCTTTACAACCCATTCAATAAACCGTCTCAATTCACAACATTTTGCATGGAATGTGGTGGAAATCCTATGTCTTGCAGCTCCTAAAACTCTTGGGCAAAATCCCAGGTAAAAAAGTAGTGGATGGTGTATCCTACCCAAGATAGATGAGTGGAGTCAGAAAAAGCATGTTGGCATACCATGTCTTGTAGCATTAAGAAGCAACAAGCATCTGCTACCTCATAAATTGATACAAACACATATAGAGCCATATTTCTCAGTTAACTTCGTGTCAAGCTTCCTCCACAACCTACTAGTGTGACAGCCTCTTGTTTTTTTCACTCAAACATGAAGTATGTTGTTTTGTCAATTCACGACAAGCTTAATCCTCTTGCTCGTTTTTAACAACTTATGTTCTAGATTGGACTCAATGACTCACCCCTATGGTCGTTTGTTTTGCAGGAGCATGCTAAAGATAAACACATGTATTTCTAATTTTTTTTTTTTTTACTAACTCCATGTTTTGTTAATTTGTTACAGTATTAACATTATTTAAACCACACATTTTTTGGTAGTTTCACTAGCTCTTTGAAAGGATATAGGGTGTACTATTGTAATCCTCTTTATATATGATGTACATTTGCTTCAATGAATATAATTTGATCATTCCAAAACTTCTTTTCGCTTGATTCACATTGTTTTCCTGACCTTAGAAGCTAACCCTGTATGCTTTCAAGGGGATTGGTTAGCCTTTGGGGTTTGGGCATTAGATTGGAGCTCAAAGATGTTAGCTTCATGTGTTGGTGCTTTGTGTACCCTTCATAGAATAAGCAGATTAAGCACACCAAAATCACTCTTATGAAAGGTCAAAAGTTTTCAGAATTAGTTATCTTATTGCCAATTTATAAGATTCATATAAATATCCTATCTATCTCTTTTAGATGACCAGGGTTGCAAATCAGATTTTTCTACCAAATTATCAATCAAGGTTTTGAATATAATGAAAATAAATGTGAAGAGATTGCAGGAAACAACTGATATTTGGTCTTGCAGTTATTTGGATGTTATCAGTGTCAAAGGAGGGTGGCTTTGAGTTAAGTAATTCCAATGATAATTATTTCATTGTTTATATATTCTAGGCCTTGCACACAAGGATACTTGAATCTGTACATGTACATTTATGTCAGATGCTTATTCTATGTTTTCAACAATTATCCTTTTGATCTGTCCTTCTGTATTTAATGAGATGCTTCTCTGTTGGAAAGATAAATCTAAAAATAGGAAATCTACACTAGCTACAAGTTTTGCTTATAGGCCGAACCGTTTGAATGCCATGCTAATGACCCACCTCTTCTTCCTGGTTATGAAAACCGACAATTGAGTCACCTTCTTGAATTTCAAATGTGTTGTAATATCATGACTGCCACACACTGTTGTGAAATTATAGGTGTCAGAACCCCTTGGTTTTTGCAAATTTGATTGGTGATTTATTATTTGATGGCAGGCTCTATACCAGGTGTTTCATTTGAGCAAATGAAACTGCAAATTAAGCTTGGAGTACCCCGATCTCTTCAGCAATCTCTGGACATTGAGAAGGTCAAATCTGTGTTTCCATAGTAAGTATTAATATTTCAACTTCAGATCTTGCTTTCAGCAAAGTTGTAGATAAAAGTTTTGTGTAGTGATATTTCTAATTCAATCTGCATTCTGGTATTACAATTCTAAAGAGAATGCTCTTGTTTGCTCATTCCAAAGGCATTAGGAAATTGGGAATGCAGTTAATTGACATAGTCTTACAATATATGAAGTATGAGATGCATTCTTACTCGTCAAATATGTAATCTCTTTGTTTTATTTGTATAATTGTTTCATATTGACTTTAATGTTTTCCAATGGACAACTTAGATCATTAGTATATCTCTAAAAGTAAAAATTATAAAATTTGATAGTATACATTGAGACATTACATATTAACATTTATTTATATATACTACAGAGTAGTAGAAAAACCTGGTCCAAGTATGACAAGTGAATTGTGCAAAAAGTCTGTATGGAATCATTATAAAAATAAAAAAAAATATGGAGGGAGTAGTTGTTAGGTTTGGCTTAACTTCTTTCAATTTTGTTCTCTATGCATAGCCAACACCTTGCAACAAACAAGCTGCTAGATTATGCCTTTTGATTTTTGGTTAATTGTGTATGTGACTAAGTTTTATAGTCATGATCTTTTTAAAAAAAATAAAAAAAAAGTTTTATATGCCTTCTTATTTATGGTAATTTCAGATACTTGTAAATGCTAAGGGACTGAGAAGTTTACTGTTGGAGATATGCAAATAGCAAATTCCGTTTTCACAACATGAATGCTAAAGTTTGGCTTATTATTATAAAGTTGTAATTTGGATCTGTTTCAAACAGACTGTGTTTATATTTTGTTGGTTTTGCAGTATTTCTTAACTTTTTTTTTTTTATGTAATTTTCCAAAATTTGGTTAGGCAAGTTTAAACATGTTAAAAATGTCACTGATTACATTGTGCTATTGCATAAACAATAATTTTGTTGGGTTTATTGTTTTCTGCAAAAGCAGTGGAAAAATCCTTGATGTTGAAGTTGTCGATGGTGGACTCATATGCTCAAGTGGTGTTCATGTGGAAGAAATGGGAGATAAAAATGATGACTGTTACATTGTTAATGCGGCTGTTTACGTTGGTTACTAAGAACTAGATATTCTTGTCTGGCTTTCTGATACTCTGAGGTTAGTTGTCATCTGACCATTTGATATAAAACATTTTATAGTACTAAAATCTATACGCATAGTTGTGCATTTATTATGACTATTAATGTTGGCAAATGAAGCCGGTAGTGTTACATATGAAACTTTATGCTATTTCCTATTGATTGGCTATATTTCTGTTTTACAAATCTGGTGGTATGCATGTTAGGCTTGTGATTATTTACAGTCATCTTTGTCTTTTCCTTAAATACATGGAAAATCGTAAACCATGTGTTCACAAGGGTGATTAAGTCAATAAATTGTAATTCTGATGAATGAAGATGGACTTGCTGTACGTGTGTGTCTGTTTTGCATGTGAACATGAACATCACTCTCCGTGTGTTTTTGTTATTATTTTAGTTACTCTGACTTTTTCACAGTACTCCATATAAAACATGTATGTTCATCTCATTAATGCAATTGGACAAAGGCGTTGCCATTCTAATACCTATTGATACCTTTCCTGCATGGGCTGCATCTTGTTGGTTCTGAAGTGAAGTGTTATAGAATTAGTAAATTGGGCAAGAAACCACCCCCCCCCCCCTCAAATAAATAAAACTCCATAATTTACTTATACAATACACAAACACTGAAACACGGTACAGGCAATACCATAGCATCAAGTACTCGATCAATAAACATTAAGTTCTGTACAGCAATAGTTATTTGTGCCATTTCTGATGACAGCAGGAAAAGAAAAGAAAAAAGGAACATTGTATTCTTATTTTTCACCCCCTCCACTCTTTACCAGTTGTTAACAAAGGGAGTGCGAAGAAAAATAAGGAAAAAAAAAATATTTGCATACATTGTCTTCAGCCACTTTACATGATTTTACCAATCAACAATCAGTTAGTGTATAGTAGTGAAAATATGACAATTTGTTTGGATTGTGTGGAAAATAGAAAGCTTGAATGACTATATAGGATGGAGGGAGTAGATTTCAACCCTTGAATTATGATCTCCAACCCCCCCCCCCTTTCCTCAAAAAAGAGAAAATGTTGCTGCTTTATTTGTATTCATGTACGTAGAAGCTTGGAAGTGTTGAAGATTTTGAGGAGAGCCTCAACACCCTTCTAGAGAAGTATGAAGCCGATGAATGTGTAAAAAATAGGCCCGTAGGCTGGAAAAATGCTTCTGATAACTCCTTTGTCATTTCTGGATGCATTTCTGGTCACTTGAGGGGATCTGCAATAGAAAGGAAACCATTTGAAGATAGTTGGAAGAGTGTTGGTTTTGCAAATCCTAATTACTTACTAATTCCTGTTCTCTTTTCCCTGACATTGTTTAGGGGTTGAACTGTTGTAGTTCACTTTGCAATCTGTATGTTAATAATGCCTTATATGTAGTATAGTTAAATATGTCAAAGTGGTGCTGGTTGTGAAACTTTAGAGTTGTGACAAAATTGATGCTGCTGCTGCTGCTGCTGCTTATGATTCAAATGTTCAATGCACATTAAACTCAATTGCGAGTCTTTTTGTTAGACAATTTTGTGATAGATGTTATTTAGTAATATTAAAAGTATGTGGTGGTGCCATGAGAGATATAGCTGGGAGATGCATCCTGGAAAGTGAGATGGAGATTTTTGTTTTCGAAGATAATTTGATTTGGACAAGGATTATTTCTGACAATAGAGCAGGATTCAAATGAGATATTTTCTGTATTGGACCTTTGGAACATACAGCGTACATCAATATGGACATAATATAGTCACTCATCCTTCGAGAGCAACATATCAAGCTAAAAAACAATTTTTACTAAGACACGCCTATGAACTCCTTATTTTCTATGATGACAACATGAAGCATCAATAATATCTTTTTTCTTTCTATATTTTCCCTTTACCTTTCTACCATCTTAATGATTTGATAAATCAACATAAATTGCAACCTAAAGAAAGAACAAAAAGACTTTGTTCAGAGTCTGGGGTGGAAATTCACATGAGTAGAGCGGCATATAAAAGCTCATTCCAAGTGTCTGGCAATCCAGGGAGGCACCAGTGGCTGCAGTCTATGCCACTGTGATCGCCGCTGTAGGCTTCTGGATGAGCATCTTTCCTCAACTGTGATAACGTTGTTATGTCAAGCAGGAAAGCTGGTTTCTTCATTGTGCTGATAACTTTCCTCACTATGTCTGCTGCTGGAGGTGAGCCTCCAGGGTATATTGAACCTGATAGAGGTTCTGCCTCCCCACTGCAGCTCTTTGAGGCCCCATGCCATTCTCTGGGACTGTCATACAAAAGAACATTTGCATTATTGAATTTTTCCAGCACTCTTATCAGTAATATCATAAATATCCTGTTTTCTAGCATATATCTGATCAACAACAGGATTTAGCATAATGATTGATTGACTAATTGTGTTAAATGCAGTGGTTGGCTGTCTGTAAATACAGTCATTTGAACAGAAGAGCAGAAGGGGGTAGAAGGTTTCTTAAAGATATGATTAAGAAGTTTTACCAAGGTTTTCTGCAGTAAAAATGTGTTTTGGGGATTACAATATACAGTATAGCACTATAGCAGTAAAGCTTAACTTATTCCCCCTTCCTCTGGGATTTTCAGATTTTAGTGTTGGATGTATTTAACGTAGCAGCTGTGAAACAAACACTTTGGGATGTTGCTATTTTTTGTACTAAAAATATATCTACATTCCCTTAATTGAGTTATAAATTATTTCCTTTTAGCATGTAGGGTTGCTGTCCCAACAGAATGTACTCGTGATTGCTTTCTAAGTGGGTTCCTTTATCTTTTGACTGCAATGTCTGAGTGTCCTGATTGAGTTCCCGACTACCATGTCGCTTCTCTGCTACAGAAGGAGAGATAGGACTGAAAAAAAAAGGTATAAGGGAGACAGAGAAGCAGCAGACAGAAAATGAATGATGGATTATTTTCTGCTGCTGTGCTGGTTGTGTTCTTAATTTTGTAGGGTACATAGACAACTAAATCCAAGCACCTGTAGACCTGTCCATTAGCTGGTGAGCTGAAAATCAACCCAGTTCAGGTACAGGCCAATTTTGGCCATGGCTCACAACTTCACATAGACCTATTTTCAGTTTTTAAAAAGCCCTGTTTCAAAACCGGTTCAGGGCAGATTTACGCTGCACCTCACCTGAACTGGCCTGTCGATTAGGATTTCATTAGTATAAAGGCAGCATGCAGCTATGGTTAGTAAATGATTATCAAGCCATAAAAGGGGGCAATTAGGCAAGCTGTTATAGAGCAGCACAGCTTGTAAAAAAGAGAAAAAGGCATAAAACTAGACAAAATCAAATCTTACTCATAATGGGTAGGAGAAATGCCCTGGAAGAAGACTTTGGTTTTGGATGGATCAACATTGTTATCAACCCATCTAGCCCATGTGGTTAACCCTTTATTGAAGGCGGTTAACCGGTCCATATCCTTAACAACTTTGGGCCCATCTTGTATGTAATCCCATCTGCAATATACATCACAATCAACAATTTATTAACATTAATTAACATATAATTGGGCAGCAATTAAATAAGCTTCTAATGGATTATATATGGATAAATTCTATAATCACTTTCTTTGATTTTGAGAACTTAAGGGAGTGGGGCCGAATCAAACAACCTTAAATTTTAGTACATTTGTATTGGTCCACTATCATTTTTATACAATTTGTTTTGCTACTTTACTATCTTGAAAAAAAAAAAAAAATCTTTAATCTATCACGTCGAATTAAAATTATCGTTTTCAAAATAGTGATGTTTAGATCAGATGCTGAAAAATTGGAAAACACTGAATTCTTTTATACATTTACTCAGTATATACATGATAATGACTGTTACCCTTGTGATATAATGCATTTAACATGTTAATTTATTCATGTATTAATGTATAGCTATCTTTTCTGAATGACTGTTACCCTTGTGACATAATGCATTTTACATGTTATTGTGTTCATGTGTAACTATCTTTTCTGAACATAGTAAAATAATATATGTTACCATTAATTCAATTAAGCGGGAATTTAACAATATAAGATATGTTATGCAGGGTTTGGGGCAGAGTAGGAGGTTACCCTTGTGATGCTCCGGTGTGAAGCCACCAATGCCATGTATTGAAGATGAGTACATCCATGTTTTTCCAAACACTACCTCCTTCGATGGAGTCTAACTTGAGAACTCGTCCAATTGGCTCTTTAATTATGTCTACTATGTAAGTCGTATGGTAGAGTTGCACACTCACCCCATATTCCTGCATAATCCATCACAAGTTTACATTAAGCATTTTATTTTAGTTTTTAGGCAATTGAATGTAACATTCATATAATCACATGGACAATGAATTCACCAAGTTTTTGGCGATACTACTATAACACGCTACTTATGTTATACGACATTAAAAGCTACTAATAATAGAAGAGTACGTAGCGTTGATTATGAAATAAAAGTTCACATTGTTCGTCTTATATAATACGTGCTTTGTCTTCTGTTTCTAAAATTGATTGCGATATCTCAAGGTATCTATCAAACATTTACTTATGAACTAACAAAGCTATTTTCAAGCATCTTATAGTTATTTTTTAGTAGAGTCTAAGACTTTCATTTGTACACTTTGGGTAGAAAGTTCGAAGTTATAGAGATTTCAATTCAGTCGACTATAGCTTGACCTAAAAGGAGTTTGTTTTAGTAGCTTACTACTTAACAATAAGAAAGCTATGAAATCTCTAGTGATGGTTAATAGATCAGCATATGGTCATGTGAGTAGAGGCATCTATTACTTTTGTATCAGTTTATCATCAGTCTTAAGATCTAACAGTAAAAAATTGGTTACTTAATTATGTATTAATCTTCACATGGTTAATGAACAAGAGCATCTTCCTCTTAATTGCTTGAGGCATTATATATTGGATTTGATTTGCTGGACTTAAAAGGACAATAACAATAAGACACATTTTCCAACATCCAAATAAATTTTGGTTACTTGCACAATGATTGCATAGCAAAGGTTTCTCCAAAGTCCTAACCAATTATACTTGCAAAAAAATATACCACAATGTAACCAAATTCCCTTAAATAGTTGCATTATTCATTATGTTCTTTACGGTGTGTTCTATTCATCTGATTTTTATTTATTTGGACTTACATAAACTTATGTGAATTTACCTAAACTTATGTGAAGTTATTAGAACTTATCAAAACTTACTAGAACTTATCAAAGCTTGTTTTAGTTGTAATTTGTATTAGGGTAACTCTTATCAGAATTTATTTTTTTTGAATTGAACTTATTTGAAATTAACTGAACTAAGTGAAAATAAGGCGAACATAACAAACCCTTATTCAAAAGGGTAATTTGAAAAGCCATTAATTGCCTTTAATAAATTTTTCCTAATTTCTGTCATAACACGTACTCTCATCTAAACCTAACAAATACTAATTCGTTCCTTAATTGTAGATTATATACACCGATCCAATTTTTAGTATATGAAATTTGTTGTGGGATATAGGAAAAGAGTTATATTATCATGTCGGCATTAGTGTTGTGTTTGTGTACAACCACTAGTCCACTATTTTGCTGCAAGTCACTAAACATAGAAGAGGAGATTTTTGAGCCCTTGTAATGGACCACTTGAGCACATCAAACTAGCTAGTAGTGATATTATACTAGTAACTAACTAATAATAGTATACTATACTTTCTAACAATCACTTTCATTTTTTTCCCCTTAAAAATGCGTCTCTAAGCTTGCTTTTTCATGTCTAGGCCACTAAAAAATATACGAGAAACTCCAAATTTATGACAATGATGAACAAGTTTTATGTGTCATCGTTCCATACTTTTAAGTAATAAATCCAAAAAGACCTCCATATCACTTCCATTTTATGCAAAAAATATCTTCCTTTTGCTCTAGCAATACAAAAGTGCAATGATCGAAAGAAATTATTCCCTCTTTCAAGATCCGCCGAACCCTAATTAATCTCAACATCAATCATCATACTTTTTAGTGTCCACATAAAATTAATTTTGACACAATAGTTGTGAGCGCATAGTTTTCTATGCTTTTTTCACATGAAGTGTCAATATCAGTTTTCGTTTTACAGTAGACACTACAAACAAACGATGTAAGGCTCGTTCACATTTACTGAACTGAACTGAACTAATTGGAACTGAACTGATTGGAGCAATACTGAACTAAACTAAATAGCTAGAGCTGAAATGAATATTTTATGAGAGAAGAAGATTAGGAGCTGAACTGAACTGAAGTAAATTTAAGCTTAAGTGAACATGTCCGTAATTATATTATTATGATAATTTCCTTGTAAAAATGACATGACATCATTTAAGATAGATGTAGCAAGATTGAGCATCACAAAACATAAAGTTAAGAAACAAAAAAAGGAGGCAACCTTCATACTTATGAAATATCATGTTGTATAACATATGATGGGGGTTGCAGCTTTAGACAGAAAGATAGAAGGCTTTGGCTGTTTATAATCTGTTATGAAACAGTGGACAGTAGCAAATATGTATAGTGGATGGACCTAACTTAATTTCCATTTTAGCTGTCCTACATGTTAGTATGGTTGCCCTTTGTCTATTTGTCGGCAGTTCATACTTTTATGTAACTACTAGGAATTTTTTTTGTCACATTTTTTTTTAAATAATACGTACTCCGTATAATATATAGTTGCATCTTTATTTGCTAATTAATTTGTTACTTATTACAGTATATTATCATGCATGTTGCTTTTGTCTATATATTAATGGCCTTTTTATCCAATAGCATAGTATAAACTTTATATAGAGACCTGGTAAAGACTAGAATAGACCCGCTTATTGTATACCCAACCTTCTAGTATATCATACGAATGTGATTATATATTACGAAATGTGATTATATTACTACAAAAGTGATTATATCATTTTAAAACTGTTATGTAAATGTATCACTCAAAAAGTGAATTTATCATTATAAAAAGTATAAAATAGTAAATTACATCATTCAAAAGATGATTTTTAAATTTTATCATTCTAAAGATAATTATATAATCTCATTAAATGGTTTAATATGAGATTATATAATTCAAAATATAACTCACAAAAAGATAATTATATCGTCTAAAAAAGTGATTATATCATCCACAATGTGATTATATTATTTGAAAGTGTCAAATTTTAGGTCTATAATAATTTATTGTAGACCGGGTCCATACAAGACCAATTGTAGAGAGCTTATGTCCTCATATTTATTTTTTATTTTAATTAGTGTGTATTTTCAATCTTCTTTTAGAGGAAAGTTTAGCTTTTACAGACTGTTATAAATATATGACAATAATAGAAATAACTTGTAGCGAATTAGAATGTTAGATAACGATAGATAGTAAATGACAATTATTAGTATAATGGCTATATTTGTAATTCTTTTGAACAACGGTTCATGGTAATGGAAAGTTTACTTTCTAGGCTTCTAGCGCATGTGTTTCTACTATTGTTTTCATTTTTTTTTTTCCACCAAAGTCACCTATGACTATAGTCCATGGACAATTTTCCTAAAAAAAAAAAAATAGTCCATGGACACTAACATTTAACAAGATTATTTTACAAGTTTACGTCGAATCTATCATTACCATCATATAAAATCGCTTACTAAACAAGCTATTACAGTATTAGGCCTTGTTTGGCAAATGGTTGTTCGCGGTTGGCTGTTAGCTGGTTCACTTGGCTTGTTTGACCAGCTGGAATGTTTGGCTGTTTATAATGGCTTTTGAAATTGGTTGTTTAAGCTGGCTGTTTATAAAAGTGTGTGGTAAATTATTTGTTGGTTGTTTATTAGATAATTTGTGGACCAACAAGCTAAAAGCCAACAGAAAAAAGTTACTCAAAACAGTTTTTTCATTTTGGCTTAAAAGCCAGTTTTTTCGCTTACTAAAAAGTCAATTACCAAACATATTTTTTGGCTGTTTGACCACATAAAAAAACCAAAAGTTAACCAAAAAACCATCAAAAAGCCATTTACCAAACTTGGCCTTAAGCTAGTTGCCTAGTTCTATGTATAAAGGGCACTTTTGATATGCCCAAGTTAGTACGGAGGATATTCTAAGAAATAACAAGTGTTAATCCACGCTCTGCAATGGGGTAACCTTTTGTTATCGTAAGGCTAAGAGTCCAAGGACTAAAATAAAACTCCCAAAATTGAACCTTATACTATTCTATTGCAAATTTGAAACACAAAAATACTATGCATCCAATAATGATATGTTGGTTGGGTCTACCATTTCATGGTGTAGAAGCTACATAAACATAATATTGCTTGATATGGGCAACTTCTATAATAATATTGGATGCACGAGTATTTCTCACTTCAAAATCATGCCGATGATTTATTATCCATGAACTATTATCTTATTCTTAGTGGAATTTAAAGTGAATCAATTACGTATTGCAGAAAGTGAGGAAGTACAGAATAAAGTTATTCTTCTATGACTAACATAAATGATATTATAGCAGCCAAAGTGGAATTATATGTTTGTATAATTGTATACATATTGAGTAACTAACTTATTGTAGATCACGTTATTAGGTGATTAGGTGATTTTACGAAATTGTATCCAAGACTTGACGAAGAATTTGTTATATACACCGGGTGTATTATACTCCAAACTAATCCAAGATTAGTATTTGTTTTTCATTTGATGATTAATTAAAAAAACAATATTCAAAATGAGAGCAAAATACCTATAAATATACGGTACACCGGGTGTATATAACAAGCTTTCAACTTGATGCTACACCTTGTATGTATCATTGTCTATTATAGATCTATACTTATTAGTATTTAAAAACTATAACCAAAAAATTAAGAAAGACACATATCCCTATTCATTCTATTACACTTCTATAACCATAGTGTCACATGTCATCTTACAGTATTAATTTTTTATTACACCATTTTTTTTAATTCTTTCATTAAACTTACAGTACTTTATTTTTCATACACACTTCATCTCTTCATCTTCATCTCTTCCCTTTAATTCGACCTTTTCCTATTCTCTTTAATTTTAACCCTTCCACCTTCTATTTAAGCCTCTTTTTCGATTAAAGTTCTAAAATTTTAATTTTTTTAATCATGTTTCCGATTAAATATTATACTATACCCTATATTGACTTACTGATATTTCCTCACTTATCTCAATACAATTTTATATGAATAACTCATGCATTGCACGACCAAAAGGCTAATCTATACTTAGTATTTAAAAAAGCAAACCAAAAACGACATATGTCATCATTCTATTACACTTCCCTATCATCTTTTTCAACTCAATGTGCCACATGTCGTTTTATATTTTTTATTTTTAATTATACAATTCTTCTTAACTATTTCATTAAACACTTTATCTTCATCTCCCCTCTTTAATTCAACCTTTTTATTTTCTCTCTTTGATATTAGTCTCTCCATCTTCTTTCTATTAAGTCTCATTTAAAATTAAAGTCCTAAAATTTTTATTTCTTTAATAATGTTTTCAGTTACATATTACACTCATAATTATTTATTGGTATTTTCTCACTCATCTCTCAATGCAATTTTCTATGAACAAGCCGTGCATTGCAAGGGCCAGAAGGCTAGTTTTAATTAATAATCCTAAACATTTAGCTAGTAAGGGTAGAGACGTAAAGTCTTGACTTAAATAATTAAATTATAATTAATAAAGAAGAATAAAGAAAAAAACAAGATTAATATGCTAAAGACAATGGTAATTAAGCTTTTGGACCTAAGATGTGTACCTGACAGAAAATCAAGGGAGAAATTCGAAAAACGACAACTTGCAACCTTATGATTATACCATTGAAAAAACGACATAGCTGATTTACCAATATACCCCTTACAACTTTAATAATTACTTATTTATTTTTTTTCCTACCGGTAAAACATTGTAGCATTATTTGTGGCCAAGTTACTCGTATAACTATAGTTGTAGAATTATGATAAAACCCCTATAACATGGGGTATTGCTTGAACTTACGCTTTGTATCACATAAGTATGGAGAGCAGAAGAGAATGCTATGCATAATCATTACTCGATATTCATTTATTTATATCATTGTCGTTTATAGCTCTCTACTCATAATTGTTCACTACCCGTAAACTCGATACGTAACAAATTGTTTACCTATCGTTTTCCGAAAAACTGATACATTACATACCACATTCTAAAAGTAACTGATAGTAGTAAATCACTATCAGTTAACATCAAGTAATAATTTTATGACAACAAAGTTAAAAAGCAAAAAATACAATGAATAATTTAATAATAATAAACAAATAAAAAGTTAAACTGACCTCAAAATTGACAGAGTAAATAGCGCCTTTCTTCCCCATTGTATACTTAACTTGAGGCGCCGACGCATGAACCATACAAGTTAACGAGTTCCATTGATTCAAACTCAGTGAGTCACCCACAAACATTATAGTCTTCCCTCTAAATCTCGTCAAAAATTCCACCCCATCGAATCTGTCAATATCACACGTCGACAATGTAATTTGAACTAGTAACGTGACAACTAAAAAAATCCGAGCAGTAATAATAAAACAGTACATACCTCGGGAGCGAGCAATCGTCGGGGCTCCAGGCATACTGGAGGTACACCTTATCAGGTCGACCATATTTAAGACAGTCAAATTCAGGGTTAATAAAAGGGCAAGTAGAGAAATTATAAAGAGGTGAAGAACCACCATTAATGTTGAAAACCCATTTTCCTTGGAACAAATTACAACTACCCATTTGCTGTCTTCCTCTTAAATGGGAACCTTTTTTGTTAGAATGGTGAGGTTTTTGTGGATTGTGATGATAAAGTGCAAAACTTTGTTGAAAAACAGAGGAAAACAGAGAAATAGTTAAGAAGAAGAATAAATGAAGAGTTTTATTAATCTTCATTTTATTCTTCTTCATTTGAGAGTGAAGTGGGTAGTAGTAGTAGTATAATAGTAATGGTATAAAAAGATGTTGGTTTTTGGGTTTTGAGCTTTTTATAGAGGTGGGAATTTTGGGTTTTTGTTTTTAATTAATTTTTTAATAAGAATTTTTAAATTAATTTTATTTTATATTTCATTGATTCACATGGGGTTATGTTTGTTAAGAGAGACAATGATGATATTTAATCTTTTTAATTTATAAATATTTGGAAGGTGTGACTTGTGAGTTGGGAAAATGTTGGTGAAAATTTTGGAGGGGTATGAGGTTGTGTGGGGTTTGTTGTTTATAGTGTGGGGAGATGGCGTGGGATTTAAATCCACGGGCCGTTAAAAGACCCGGATTTGTAGCTGTTTGGCTCTTTGTTCACTAGTGTCTTTTTATGGGGTACATTGTATAATGAAACACTTTACTAGGGTGTTATAACTGATAGAGAATACACGCAAGGATGAATACAGAGTAATTGTGAGATAATTATTAAAAATTATTACTTTGTAGATTTTTTTTTTTTTTTTTTAAAAAAAAACAAGTGGTAATGTGAATGGGAAACGTAAAATAAAATCTAATGTTATATACATTGAAACACATTTTACTTCATATATTTGTGGAATTTCCATCAATATTTATATTGAATATTGTTTACAGGGAAAATGGTTAGTTAAAATTTTAGATATTTTGTGAAAAACTACCTTTTAAACTTTTTAAATTTTACGAGAAACTACCCTAAAAACAAAATGTTGTAATTAATTACCTTATAAAGTATAAAATGTTGTAATTAACTACCTTATAAAGTATAAAATGTTGTAATTGACTACCTTCCACCGGAATAACACATTTGTTTTTTATTTTACGATGTTGATCATGTCATGTGAGGGTCACATGACCCTTTAATGACTTGATTCCCCCCTTTTCTCCCAAATTTTCCCGCTTTATACCAACTATTTTCCTTAACAATACGATTATTCATATTATTGTTTATTTGCGACCCATTTGATAATTATATGTGCTGAATTGGTGTAAAGCGGGAAAATTTGGGGAAAAGAGGGGAATTAAGTCATTAAAGGGTCACATGACATGGTCAACATCGAGAAATAAAAGACAAATGTGTCATTCCTGTAGAAGGTAGTCAATTACAACGTTTTATATTTTATAAGTTAGTTAATTACAATATTTTGTTTTTAGGGTAGTTTTTCGCAAAATCTGGAGTTTTAAAGGTAGTTTTTCACAAAAAATCCTAAAATTTTAGATGAGACGATTGTTTTTGTGTTTAATACTAATGCATCAATTACAATTTACACATTTTCATTCACTTTTTTTTTTCAAATTTTATCTATTTTTTTGTTACACTTACTCACCTTTTTATTAAATTACTATGTTCCGTTCTTAACCATGCTTTTCTTTTATTCACTCATTCCAAGCTTTCGTATACAAACAAAAGTATACAATAATTCTATGATTTTGGAAAATGATGGGATGGAGTATATACTCAATTAGGGATGATAGTAAGAAGTTAAAAGTTAGAATAAAGGAGAGGGTACAAAAATAACTCTTTTCAATGTTTATTCATTTAGATGGCTAACTTGCTAGCTCTTTAGTTGATTTTATTTACCTTACCTAATTTTTGTTTTAATATAAAGTTGTAAAAGTTGTAATTGGTGAAGTTAATAAAGAGATGACCTATTTAGAGTACGGGTATTTAGATAAATAGTTCCCAACGAACCATGAGAGGACACAATTTGGTAATTACGCTTGCGATAAGATCTACTATCTTTTTTTCTCTAGTTCACGTAAACTAGTTCACTAAATAACTTGGTTCGTCTTAACATCTATTTTGATATGGTCTACCATTTTAGTATTACAAATTAATGCAAACACTTATCTTTTGCCCCGAAAATGCCGTAAGCTATATGTTTGTAGGGTTAAAATGTTAAATATATCAACAATTTACGAAAATGACATATTGTTGACAAAGGATAAACTCCAAAGCAAAGAACTATCAAAGTTTAATAGAGAAGGACATAATAATAGAAGCACAACAATAAGATGCAATTTCTTTGGAATTCCGCAATTATCTATTTAAGACAAACGTCTTTGTTGCCTCTAATTGCAAAGTGTCGTGCCTGTGTAGTGCATCTCCCTTAAGTTTTTGGTTGACTATTAAGTATTTTGGTTTATCAATCAATTATAATTTGCCAATAATTCAACCTTTAGACCAAAATATTCCTGGAAATTCTTTTATTTAGAATATACATGCAATATATCATAAGTTTTTTGGTACGCATTGTAACTTATAATATTCTTATAAAAGTTGATTCAAAGTCATAACTTGAATTCAAAGCATAATACATAAAATTTTACTTATTAAGTGTGTTGTGTTTTGGTCCACCAATAGGCGTTATTTCAACCTTAATACAGCATAATAAGCGTGTATAACAATAAGAATACAATGACTAATTTGTGTACTCTGTACGTTTATACCTAATGATATACACCATAATGCATAACTATTGTTGTGAAACATTGACATAATATGATAAGAGTTACAGTACAGTACACTACTGACTACACACACTGGTTTTATAAAAAAGAAAAGCATTTTATATTGGAAAATTTGTCTGGAAGGGACTAATATATTCATCATTTTGTCAAGAAGGACCTTTTATGTCGAAAGTTGTCTAAAAGGACCTTATAAGTATGTTTTGTTGTTTATAAAGACCTTGACATCAGAATTCGGCGTTTAACTTTGATTTTCCGGCGTTGACCCCCACGTGCATGTCACGTGACATTAAAAAATTACCCTCTCCCTTTTTTTTCCCTTTTTCCCTCCAACCCTAGCCTTCAAACAGTAGCAAAGTCAAACACCGGATTCCAATGTTAAGGGGAAAAAAGTGAGAGGGTATTTTTTTTTAATGCCATGTGACATGCACGTGGGGGGGTCAATGTCGGAAAATCAAAGTCAAAACGCCGAATTCTAATGTCAAGGTCCTTCCAAACAACAAAACAAATGTATAAGGTCCTTTTAGACAACTTTCAGGATATAAGGTCCTTTCAGACAAAATAGTGAACATATAAGTCCCTTCTAGACAAATTTTCCTTTTATATTATGTTTTTGCCAATGTTTGGTATGAAATTAAGGAATGACAACGTGAACATTTTATGGGTTTTGGACTATATTCCGTAGTCAACTCTTTGAAGGCGCCAATTGCTCGAATGTGTTCACGGGATTATGATATTTTCTCTATGTTTCAATGTGATGAAGTTTCATTGTTTCATGAATACAATAGATAAGTAGATTGTACACTATTTCGAGGCTAAGGAGACAAGAATATGTTGACAATGGATTTGATTGTTATTGTACTTATGCTCTGTGAATTATAATCTGCATGAACTGCCTCATCTTTTTTTTCTTTTTCGAGAATTTAGAAGAAAAACATGCAAAAAGAGTTATACGGAGTATATTATTAGTTCCACACCAGTTGGCACCTTGGCGGTTAACTAATACGGAAAACTAGAGAAGCGAAAACTTATCTAACCTGACTTGAAATAAGTGGGTCAGAATTAAGGTTTTTGATCCATTATAACAGATGGGTTGACCTGATTAAGGACCTATTCACTTAGCTTAATTTCAGTTCAGTTCAGCTCCAATCAGTTCAATTTAGTTTAGTTTAGTTCACCTTCTAATTTTCTTCTCTAAAAAAATATTCATTTCAGCTCAGTTCAGCTCCAATCAGTTCAATTTAGCTCAGTTCAATAAATGTGAACATGCCCTAAAGTGTTTAAGGGCGTGTTCGTCAAAATATAGTCGTGAATGTAGTTGTTAGCTGTGCACAGGTGGTATTAGCTGAATATATAGCTAGATGTTAGATGTCAACAAATTGTTAGTTGTGAAAATAGACAATTAAGGTGTGAGTGTTTGATAAATTAGCGGTTGACTAGCTGTTATATATAAAACATCAATATTTTTTTACCTAAAACTATATATTAAATTTTGAACAGCTACCTCTGATTTTCAAAAGCTAATATTTCTATCTTTTGATAAAAGTTATATCCACCACTTAACACTACTCCAACTACTATATATTGTCAAACATTACAAGCTACTTAAAAGCTACGTACTGTCAAACACCCAAGGGCCTGTTCTTTTTAGCTTATTCTCAGTTCAGCTCAGCTCCAATCAATTCAGTTCCTAATTTCCTTATCTCATCATAAAATATTCAGTTCAGTTCCAATCAGTTCAGTTCAATAAATTAGAACAAGCCCTAATTATTTTAAATGTTTAATCCATTTAGCTCATTTATATATTAAATTGATTAATGAAAAAATATCAAGAAAATACTCCACATACTGAGTTTATTAGTTATTTGAGATTAATTTTATTTGTCCAACCATGTGATTTTCAAATGATCTTGCTAATACAAGCACCCCCAATACCAAGTTTAGAATACATACAAGCCAAAATCACTTGTTAATCAGTGTAATTAATGTTTATTTTATTTTGATATTTCTAATTTCATTTGTCTTATCTTATATCATTGGAGCGCTGGTTAATTTTTGCCAAATAGAAAATATTAACTTGTATGTATACATTTTACTAATATACATTAGATTGACTAATAGCTGATTAATATAAAGTTTTAAACAATAGCCCAATATAAAAACAATGAAAGGGTTTGTTATATACCTAAAAGGCTGAACTTATTACTCTGTAAATCTTATCGGATATTCAAAACTTAATTATAATTTGAACTTGATTAACGTTAATAAACCTTGTTCTTTTCATAAAACTTTTTTTTTTTGGCTAAAGTTGTGTAATTTAAGCTTATTCTTCCAACATAAGTGAAAAGAATTAGAATGTGAACGGTTTGGCCTTATGGAACAAGAGAGTGGTTGATAATCCATCCCTTAGGAATTTTTTAAAGATTTCACCTAATTTAATCTACGTAGGGTCTGTTCTGGTTTACTGAACCGAGCTGAAATGAACTCATTGGAGTTGAGCTGAAATAAACTAAACTGTTTATGATAGAAGGAAAAGAGGAATTGAATTGATTGAAGCTGATGTAAACTGAATAAAACTGAAGAGAACAAACAGGCCCGTAGTATATCATGTGGATATATGATTGGTGTGATCTAATATGATCAAATAAGTGAATTATTTAACATACCTAGTATTAGCCAAAGTTTTATACGCAGTACCACTATACAAAAAGAGAAAAGTGATAGTAGTAATGGTCTCAAAGGGTAAAACAAAAAAATAAAAATAATTTCCTTAAAAAAGGAGAATGAGTCCAAAAAAATAATTAATTTCAAGTTGACCCCCTCAATTGCGAGACCAAAAAGAATAAAAATTCATGTAAGGAAACATGGGGAGGAATTGTGGTTTGGATTCTTCGGAAAATTCTTATACTTTTTGCAGTTTTGCAGTTCACGGGATCAAGATTATCAAAAATGGAATTTTGTGGATCTTATACAACTCATAATAGCTTGATTTTGTTACAGTGCACTCGAGTCAAGATCGATTTGGCCAAGTCAAATTCTGCATTATTCTAAATCGTCATTTTCGCTCTTTTTTTATTCATGTTATGGTTCTATGGTTGTGTTTTATACTTTGTTTATTTATAAAAACTTAATGGAGTTTTGTATTTTTGAGGGAACGTGAAAAGGATAAATTTCTAAAAATTCAATCAATTTATTACTTTTAACGTATTACAATTTAAGGGTCTGTTCACATTTACTTAATTTCAGTTCAGTTCATTTCAGCTCCAATCAGTTCAGCTCAATTCAGTAAATGTAAACAGGCCCTAAGTAGGTGTTAAAATTGAGTTGGCTTGAAATAATTGGCGTAAACTAAAGTGACTCAATCTATAATTTGATTTGCATGAACAATATATAATATACCAATAGTATGACTCAAATTTAAAATTATATGTTTAATCTGAACCTGACTAGTGACTTGAATGGCTAAATTATTATCTCTTATTACAAGCTAAGGAATTATTTGAATAATTTAATTTCAATATTTGTCGATCTCTAAAATAACAAGTTAACATGATAAGTCGACAAGGAACTCATCTAGCTATTATGGCAGAGCATATATCTTCCACTTAATTGCCATAGGGTTCAAGGCGCTTAACTACCTAAGTAGCCACACCCTAATCACCCTACCCCATCCTACTTTGTACTCTTAAGATATGGCCAAAGGCGCACCATAATTAAAGGAGGAAAAAGATTACATATTACCATCAAACACGAGTATATTGTTCTTATACATAAGAATTGACATGCACCCCAATATTACTTTGCCTCAAGCTAAGATTCAAGTATCTTACTAAGCCACGCGTAGAAACATATTCCTCTTCATTTAGATTTTAACTTATGTGAAGTTGGTAAGGAGTCATAAATCAACACGAGTTTTCCTTTTTCTCATACGAATTCCTTTTGTGGCCTCTGATTTAATTTACAGGTTGTTAAAATCATGTATCCTAAATTATTTAAATGTCTCATTTATATATCGTTGTTAGCTAGTACAAAGTATTTAACATCATTACCTTATTAACCTTTTAAATACTTATTAATAATAGTATTGATTAACGTAAAAAAATAATTATTCCGTATAAATCATAAATAGTGGGATACAAGATGAGACACATAATGAATAATGAATAGGACATCTTTACTCCTACTTTCCACTTGCCTCCTTGCCGATCTCCTTGTGATATGATAATCATCAAAGTATCTTCTAATGAACTAGAGGATGTTTGGTTCCAACCATAAAGTGTTATCCAAGCTCTCATCAATTCATCATACACAACTACACAACATGGACTTTATGCTAACTTGATTAATATTATCATACTTTAGACTAAATGATTATTTAATTGTATCATGAGTTGCAAACTTTATTAAATTAACTTATATTGAAATATACTTGAATTGAAGGCCAACTCACAAATTTGATTGGATAGACTAGACAGTACAGACACCTTTAATTTGTTTCGTTTTGTTTGTAATCGATCTCTCCGCAAGTATAAATAAAGTAACAATTATTTATCCTAAAGATATATTATAATGTCGACGGTTGATGAAATCATTTTATTTAATTTTATTTGACATCAGAAGTCCTTTAATAATTTGGGGCATATTACAAAGAACAAACCGGCCAGGCCACGAATTATTTTTAGTCATAGTAGATCATTATCCTTTTTGTGCACATGAGATCAACAATTCGATCATTTTACAATTACATATATTAATAATTTATATAATAAAGTGAAAGCTAATACTTGTATGAAGTATTCACATCATAAAATGGCTTCATATTATGTTTTATTATTCCTTCAAAAAATAAATAAATTATGTTTTATTATCAAAAGTAATTTAATAATTGTTTCACAAAAAAAAAAAAAGTAATTTAATAAAAATATGATAAATGGCATATTCTAAATTCATATACGAAGTATATTTTATTATTTACTTTATGATAATACATGAATGCGGTACTTTTTTTTCTTGCCACCCTCGTGAGGCAAAAGTGTGTGTAAAATTTGGTTTTTAACGGATAAGAGAAATACTAAATAAAATAAAATAACCTTACAAACAATTTTTAAGTTTTTTTTTTCTTTTTTAAAACAATTTAAACATTAATTTTAACTATATATGAAATATTCCGTACATTATAAATTATTTCAATCATCAATTTCCTAACAAAATTGCATTGAATGAAATTGCCATTGGAGTTAGACAACTTATGTACCGTACTATTGATACTTATTCTAGCAAAAATTGATTAGCTTAATGTGTTATTAGTCATTGAGACCACAATATATGTACTTCGTACAATTTATATATATGTACTTATACTATCTAAAAAGTTTTACAATCAATTTTAATCATAAAATTCATTTTTGGTAAGAAAGTTGATAATTGTCATATATTACCTCCGTTAATGGTAATACGTAACTTTGTAATTTTTTATATCTCACAAATAATACCCTCAAAGTTGCAGATAACCATTATTGGAGGTAGTTCTACGTGTTTCACATAATATACTTTCGAAGTTTTTTTTATTATATTTTTTTTAAAAAATAGAAACTTTTCTCTTACGCAACTTTCCTTTATGGGATATTGGTGTCTTATCTCCAACTCAACAACCTAACAAGCTAACAGCAATCCGTTTAGCAATAACTTTCCGAGAAGACTACCCATGCAATCAAAATTAATTAATCAATTGAACCATCAATAATACAAATTAAAGCTTAGTTATTCACCACTTTTGCAAGCAAAAATTAGTGCTTAATGGTGGGGTAGAAAATGGCGGCTTAAGAATTTTCTAATTATAAAGTAATTGGATAAATCTCTAAAGTCCAAAATGTATTTATACTCCTTCCTTTCTTTTTAATCTAACAACTTGCTACAAATGCTACTATACACTTCAATTCGTATCTAAGTAGTCAATCTTTAAAACTTTGACTGTGCAAATGTGAAATAACATTATCATGAAGGATATTGTTAGATACAATGTCAATTATTACAATATTATATAGAAATACAATTTCCTCAAAAAAAAAAAAATAAAAAAAATAATAATAATATTGTAATAGAGACATCATAAAATGTAAATGAGAATATATAGGGTACTTAAAGCATCTCCAATGGTATATAAAAAAGACATACTTGTAAATTAAATTTAATTATAAGTAGTAGCTAACCATTGGATTGACATTTATCTCAAAAAAAAAAAAAAAAAAAAACCATTGGAGTGACATTATGACGTGTATGATAAAAATTATACATCCTCCGTTTTTAAATATTTGCTTCATTTTCATTTTTTATACTATTCATTTGTATCGCTTGTAATGTTTATAATTTATACATAAGAAAAAATTATAGTCTTATGGGTACTTGTTGGGATCGTCTCAATGAATAGATTATTAATTTTCAATTGTTAGAATTTATACTTATCGATAATTAAAGATATTATTGATCAAAGATTAATATCGGCATGCGTGTCCAAGTGAAACAGAACAAGTATTTAAAAACGGAGGGAGTATTATTTGTTTATTTTTTCAAGCTAAAATATTTTTAGCTCGTTATTGGAGCACTTTGTAGCTTAAAAATATACTTCGTACTAGCTTAAAATTTTGATCTATCAAGGTAAACTACATACCCAACTTATAGGTTACCGTTGAAGATGCTCTTAAAAAGCAGAAAGAATAGGGTAAAAAAAAAAAAAAAAAAAAAAAAAAAAAACAGTTTCATACATCAAAAACTGTTGAATAAGTGAGGTCCCTTTCTTAATGAAATTTGGCTTGTTATAAAAAAAATGGAAGCATGGCATGTCCTACATTCAACTTTTTATGTACGTGCCTTTCTTATACTCAAAAAGTTTGATATTGTTATCCAAATTATGGCAAATTTTACTTCATTATTGTTTCCCAAAAGTAAAAGGTTTTGTAACTTTCATATCAAGTTTTTGATTGGAATTTGGTTCAATGGTTGCAAACTTTTGGGGAATTGTAGTGTTGTGACATTTAAATGGCCTTAGAATTGTACAATGTCAAGTTGGTCTCATTTCATTTTCTTGTGACTAATGATTATTATTTTGCATTAGCTTGCTTGAATTGAAGTGTTTGTGGGGGCAATGTTGATGAGGGTTCATAATTCATAATGAAGAAATTTTGGGATGAGATAACTAAGTAATAATGACCTAATAAAGATAGAGAATTTCAAATTGATTTTAATACTGTGATTATCTTCCTCTTTATTATTTCTTCTATTAAGGTTATCAAAGCAAGCAAAATTTAAGAGTCTTTAACATGCACTCCATCAATTAGTGTTTAATATTTGTACATGTGTTCTACTATGACAATGACAATACAACAAACAAGAGTATACCTAAATAAACATCGTATTATAAGTTTCTTGAGTTAGTCTCCTCATGGCCGCCTTTTAATTTGGGATAAGAGCAAATAAAAAATAAAGAGACCCAAAGTTTCTCATCTTACAATCAAGTTTGTATTTCGAGGGAGATTCCATAATTAGTGGAAGGGTAGTATGGTAAGTTCTTGAACTTAAGTATGTATTTAAACTGTAAAGCTAAATCTTAAAATTAAAGATTTTTATAATAATTTAAAATTTGTGTTATAGGTATGAGAAGGTTGAAGCTGCATCCACACTTTAAATTATTTAAACTTTCATTTAAGGGGACGTGATAGAATATAATTTATATTCTTGGGCTACTTTCACGACCCACGAATAGGTTTTATACTCTATCAACTGCAAAAGTTGGCCAAGACCAAATTAAAGAGAACTAATACATGCGTTCTCCAATTGTAACAATTATTTTCTTATCTCGATCCCAATTTGTTTGATCCAAACTTGAAAAAAACTAGACTTTTCAATTTGTTCTATTCTTATAAATTTCTGCTCAATAGATAAGATGTAGGGTTTATGAGCAATGAGCTTAACCGTACTTTCAGAGTTACAAGACTCTCAATAGATATGCTTTAGTTTCAACTCATTTTTCACACTTTTAAAATTTTACACTATTTTTTTTCTATATTTTTCTCTCCTTTATCTCCTCTTATGCCTCTTAGATTCTAAAATTTTATTTATACATCCTCTCTTTGAGTTTTCGCTTTACGTAACTTTTTTTTTTTTTTTTAATAGAGGTAACTTTTATTTAAAACTCACTATCTGGGTTTATTCCCCTCTCTTTTTTGGTTCATTTTTATTTCATCACTATTCTTCCTTTGTTCCCTTTTTTCTAAACAATTTTTTATAGAGATTTATATTTACTGATCCCAAATGATTTTGAGACTAATGCTTTATTGTTGATATTGTAGTTAACGTGTGTAATTTCGTCTGAAAAATGAAAGATTCTACATTTGGGCCTCATCAATCTTAATAATGCGATTATGAGGTGGGCCCTTTATTTAAGTGGCTTTAACTTTAGTCAAAATGTGGTATTAGATACTTGTACTAGATAAAAGGTTTAATGGTTCTAAACTGCCCAATCTTCTTAATTAGTCTTTGTCAAGAATTAATTCTCCCTTACAAAGAAATTACTCGTTTCAGTCACAATAAATTTAGACGAGATCATTTCTTTCAAAAAAAAAAAATAAAAAAGGTTAGAAAGATCATTAGACATTTAGATTGCTTTGAAGACGGATTTTAAAATCAAATTTGTAAATTAAAAGTGGTTTATGTTATGTTAAACTTAAACATGTACTTGTGTGTGATTAAATATAAAATTTATATTTTGTAAATGACAAATGACTACTTAAACATGTATGGTGGATTGGTGGTCCTTATATATAGATAAGAGTTGTCAAAAAGTAGTATGACATAAGAATTGGCCTAAAACCAACCAAAATCCATTCCAATTATATCCAAAAAATTGGGCTTTCTAAACTAACTCTAACCAAAATTGACTTTAACTGTTATAAACAAATAAAAATCCAACATTAACCTGAACCAATAATAATAAAACCCATGATTGACCCGTACCTAAGAATGACTAGTAAGTTAGTAACAACAAAGGTTGTTATAGGTCTTCAAAAAAAAAAAAAAGGGTTTGGTTCATTTAATTATTGAATGCCAAAAAAAAAAAAAAAAAAAAAAAAAAAAAAAAAAAAAAAAAAAAACTTGAGTGCAATAGGTGTAAATAAATTTTCATAAAAATAACATTTGCTACCAAAATCAAAAGGCTTGATTGGTATGGGAAACAAACTAGTAATTAATTTTACTTTTTTCTATTTATATACTTGCCTATTTCTTAAGCAAAGCTTAAAATTATTTTTGCCCTCTCCACATTATGCTAGTTCTCTTCCATAATTGTTTATTCTTAGAAGCAAATTAAGCTTAATTTGACTGGTGAAATTAAAACAAATGTTTTGAAAATTATTAAATGGTCTTAGAATTGTACTGTACAAAGTAATTAAGTTGGTCTCATTTCATTTTCTGTTGACTTAGTTATTAAATGTTTTCTAAAATTATTAAATGGCCTTAATTATTACGTACTCCGTAGTTTTATTTTGCTTGAAGGGAAAATATGTTGATCGGATAAGGATTCATAATTAAGAATGAAGAAAATTCCAGCAAGAGATAACTAAGTGATATTGACTTAATAATAATAATAATAATAATAATAATAATAATAATAATAATAATAATAATGGAGATATTCAAAATGATTTAAGTGATTGATATTAAGATTATCTTAGTCTTATTTCAAAGCTGATCATATTGGAGCAACATACAACATGTATATATATATCATTATTATATCTAAAAAAAACTTACATATGTTTTTTTTTTTTTTTTGTTTGTTTGCTAAAATGCTTTATATGGCCTCTTAAATAGTTAAATACAACTAAAAATGAGATTAACATAATGTAATTAAATTTAAAAAAATCTCATCTCACCAAAACTCTAGCCTCCATTGTTGAAATTGAAGGGGCTTCCATCGGTTTTAACCGGTGGAAAGCCCCAATCCTTTTTTTTTTTTTTTTTTTTGGGACGGGGAGCAAAAATTCAATTAAAATGCAAGTGCATCCATAAGTACATAGGGGGAAACATCATTAGGAACCCAATGATCCCAAATTTGCTCAACATTAAACGGAATATACTTTGCAAGGTTGTGCGCCACTGTGTTGCCTTCTCGTTTCACATGACTCCACTGCAATCTTGAGAATTTTACCACTTGAGCCATAACATCACATAGCACTTTATCTAGATCGGTGAGGTGGGTATTTAAAGTTTTTTTAGGTTTTATGATAATGCTTCCTTCTTTTGGGAGGGACTTTTCTCCCTCGAAAGAAAGGGTTTCCGATTTCCTTCGAAAGACAAGGTTTATCTCCTCTTTTTGGGGGAGAAATTTCTTAGTTTTGAATTAGATCTAATGGGTTGCCGTGAAATTATTTCGTTGGTGAAAAATTTATCAAGTTTCCGAATACATACAAATGAATAAAAGGAAAACATCCTCACGACTACAAAGGATTGTTAATTGTCTCTCCAACCAAACTATATTTTCCAGTGATATAAACGGGAGATGTTCCACAGTGAAAGATCTACTCGAGGGATTGTAGTTTTTATGAAGGAAAATTTTATTTGATAAAATATCTTATATATTTGTTAACGTCGAATCTATATTATTGTAGATGTTGTATGACTTTTAACTAATGAAATATATTTTGCTATTAAAAAAAAAGAAGTTAAATACAGTTATACAATTCATCTCAATCTAAAGGTCATCATTTGATAATTACCCTTAGAAAAATACCACTATCTATAGTAGTCAATTTTTACATTACCACCTCATTTTTTTTTTTTTTTTTGTATCATACCACCTAGTTTTGTTCAAAACACGAAAAACTACCACTACTTTTCTACCTGACGTCATGCATGTTGGGTCCTATCTAATGGCCTCCATTTCATTATTTTACTCTCTTTCCTCTCGATTTCCCCTATTCTTCCTGCTTTCTATCTCTTCTTCTTGCAAATTTGAATCATTTCTCGCTTTTCGCAATTTAGGGCATTAAATTCTGCAATTACAACTTCAACTAATTGACAATTCAAATTCGAGGGGCAAATCATGCGTAATTAGGGTTAGTGAAATCAAATTGGGTTTGTCTCAATTCAAATTAGGGTTTATTTTTTTATTTATTTTTTATTTTTTATCTTATTGTCCAATTATTCATCCAATTAATCAATTCGTAAATCCTCATTTGAATTGAGAAAAACCCCAATTTGGTTTCACTAACCCTAATTACACATGATTTTCCCCTTGATTTTGAATTGTCCATTGGTTGAAGTTATAATTGTAGAATTTAGTACCTTAAATTATGAAAATGCTAGAAATGAATTCAATTTTGCAAGAAGAAGAGATAGAAAGAGGGAAGAACAGGGGAAATATGTGTCATTTTTACTCATGCCAATAATTTAATTAGAGACCGATGGAGTATAGTTTTTGTTATTGTGAGATTAAAAATATTGGATGTCTGGCATTTTAAAAACTATGCAATGAAAATAAATGACATATTATAAGACAAACGGAGTAATAGTTTGCCATATATATACTCCCTCTGCCCCATAACACATTTCCTACTTTCCTATTTTGGAGATCCAAAAAGTTGTTTCCGTTTCTATTTTTGGATTGTATGTAAAGACCATTATACCCTCACTTTTTTAACGTTATTCATTATACTTTTTAATTTACCCTTTAATTTTGCATATATCTTGTATTTTTTCCACCTTTCCTCTTTAACTTTTATCTATGATTGTATTTTTCACTTTTATTAATGTACTGTGAAAAAACACAAACATGAACTATATTATGGGATGGAGAGAGTATATATATATATATATATATATATATATATATATATATGCTGTAAGAATATCTTATGTTCTAAACTTTTTTCTATGTTCTAAATTTTTTTTGGCTTATGTTCTAAACTTTTTCCTATATTCTAAATTTTTTGGAAAAATGGAAACTAATAATCCCACCTTTGCCACTTCTGCTCAAAACAATCCCACCTTTTCGAATTCCCAAAACAATCCCACCTTTTACCCCCATCTTCTCAAAATGAGTCTTTTAACCCACAACTTGTTTAACAGGTTAACTTTTTTTTTCAATCTCTCATCTCCCACCTTAGCTATCCACCATAGCCACCACTGCACCACCATCACCACCACATCACCACCTAACCCCAGCCAACCCACGAACCCCAGCCTACACGAACCCGAAACCCCTAGCCACCACGAAACCCACCAACCCACAAACCCCAGCCAACCCACGAATCCCCACCACCCACGATGGCCACGAAACCCACCACCCACGATGGCCACGAAACCCACCACCCCCGAATCCCCACCACCCACGAATCCCAACCACCCATGAACCCTAGCCACCACAAACTCCTACCACCCACAAATCCGGACCACCCATGAAACTCAAACCACCCCCGCCGATCTCACCCACGAAACCCACAAATCCCGACCACCCACGAACCCCAGCCACCACAAACTCCCACCACCCACAAATCCCGACCACCCATGAAACCCAAACCACCCCCGCCGATCTCACCCACGAAACCCACCAACCCCGAAATCCCGACCAACCCACGAAACCCACCAACCTCGGAATCCTGGCCTACCCACGAAACCCAAACCACCCACGAACCCCGATCTCCCACGAAACCCAAATTAAACCACCTCGAACTACCGCCACCTACAAACCCCGACCACCCACGAACTCCGATCTCACCCACGAAACCAGGAATGGGGAGGTGGGGAAAGGGGAGGGGTGGTGAAGTGGTGTGTGATGCGGTGGACGGTGGTGGGGAGTTTTTATTTTTATTTTTATTTTTTATTTTTTTATTTTTATTTTGCAAAAATTAAAATTGTACCAATCAGAAGGTGACACGTGGCAAGTTACCTACTAAAATAAGTTACCTATTTCACAAACCGGTAAAAGGCTCATTTTGAGAAGATAGGGGTCAAAGGTGGGATTGTTTTGGGAATTCGAAAAGGTGGGATTGTTTTGAGCAGAAGTGACAAAGGTGGGATTATTAGTTTCCATTTTTCCAATTTTTTTTTAGTTATGTTCCAAATTATTTCCTACTCCGTATGTTCTAATTTTTTTTAAGCTTATGTTCTAAATTATTTTTTCCTTTGTTCTTACTTATTTTTTCCTATGTTCTAAATTATTTTTTCAGCTTATGTTATAAATTTTTTCCTGTGATATAAATTATTTTTTCAACTTATGTTCTAAATTATTGTTCTTATGCTCTAAATTTTTGTTTGCTTATGTTTAAAATTTTTTCTATCTTCTATTTTTTTTTTCTTATGTTCTAAATTTTTTTGGCTTATGTTCTAATTTTTTTTTCAATGTTGAAATGCAATTATTAAAGGATCATTTTAAATGGTTTGATCAAAACTAATAAAGAGCTGAGATTAGTTCTTATATAAAATTGAGTTCTTATAGAGGAGTGTTCTTACATGAGAACCAAGGCTATAATAAAAAATAGGAACTAATCTATGCCCTTAGATCATGTTAAGCGGACGGACAACATGCTTCCCGTGTCATTAATGACATTTTCGTAATGTTTCAACTTTACAAAATAATTTTCAGTTTTATTTCTAGAAAGTAAATGAAAAGTTAATAAAGTAAATGAAATTAGTCATAAAGTAAATGAAATTGCCTTAAAAGTTAAAAACTGGAAAAAAAATTTAAAAATTCGCGAAATTATAAAAGCCATTAATAAATGCGGGTGAGATGTGAGCCGTCGAATATAACGTAATTAAAAGCTGAGATTGATTTCTAGTTCCTATTATTCACCTTGATTCTCACATTATCTCAATTCAAAATATATATTTTGCTCACACCTAGTTTTATGCACTGTAAAAGCAATTGAACAAATGGGCGATGGCTACTAGACAATGAACGGACTTTTTCCTAAACTTTTTATATAAAATCATAACAAAAGGATATATCTGTCGTTCTGTCAAAGGCTCATACGTAGACTAATAGACTAATTCAATGAGACCCAAAATGTTTTTTATTGGCCCAATTTTTTTGTCAAAAGCCCAAGAGTAAGCTAAGAAATTGTACAGCCTGGATTTTCGTTGCCTCTTGAGATCAGCTAGGATAGAAATGATTACTCTAGCCTGTAGAATAAAAGCAGTCTACTATATTGGACATTTGGACTTGCTACAAAAAAATAATTTTGGTACACCTATTGTGAAAACACATTTTTTTTTTATGCAGCCCATAAGCAAAATTATACTTTATCGGTTCTTTTTTACTTGACCTATATTTTTTAGAATACTTGCCAATGCAAAATTTTAACGATAATTTTAATTCTCCACAAGTAAGAATTTTTAAATTATATATTATGATATTACTTATTGAAACGAATTCAAAAAGATCCCACATTCCCACATGAATATATTTTCCTTATATATTATTCACAAAAGACGGTCAAAAAATGGGTGGTGAATTGTGTAAAAGTCAAAGCGGATCAAGTAAAAAAGAACGGAGGAAGTATGTGAGTAACATTATTGACTTACATTTTAAAAAGTAAGATAAATATTGGGATGTTTCATGTGTATCCCACACTCATAAAAAGAAAGAATTATGTCCAATTTATAAGACTAATAAGGCTCTATTTCCCTCATCAATATATGGTTTTGTGGAATTGTGATGGAACCTTCTTAGACTTATAAGTTAGACTAAATTATTATTATTATTATTATTATTATTATTATTATTATTTATCATTATTATTATTATTATTATTATTATTATTATTAGGGAAATTCTCGGTGGTAACATCCAATTTATTTTTTTCTCTTTGATAAAGGGCTTAAAAAGATTTTATCAACAGTAATTAACAATTAATTAAACTAAGATAATGGTGATAGAATTGATAATTTAATTCATTTAAAAGACTAACTATGGTTAATCTTGGTTAAATGGTCATGTTTTACACTAATACCCTTACTTAAGGGATGGACTTCCCAATTTCCTCCCAAATTTCCTTCCTTTCGATTTCCCCCTTTTTAAAACCCTAATACCCTCCCTGTTTCATCTTCAACCTCGTGAGTTTCACCATTCACTTTCTCTCTCTGTTTTCATGGCTAGGTCTGGTTCTTCGTCTGTATCACTGCGGCCTATAAATATGGAAGATAAGATTGCTTGGGTGAAGCACGTTTCCTACAATTGTGCTCCGCCTAAAGTGGCTGTCGTGCTTAGGGAAGAGGATATTGTCAGGGTTAGCGAGGAATTGGAAGTTGAACAAGGTCCAAATGCAGATGTGAAGGAAAAAGTAGTCAAATTAGCCAATTTTATCAAAGTTGTTGTTAAAATGGCACTCATTCTGTATTTTATGTTGTTGTTTGTTAGTAAGAATTAGTTAAGTGATGTTTGTATTTGGCTTTATGCCTTATGAATGTAAGAAATGATCTTTGAAGATGAATAAAATTACCAAATTTTTATGAAATGCTTTCAATTGCTGCTGCCATAAATACTCAGTCAAGTTAACATCAAATTATGCAACAAAAAAATCATGATTTATATAAACCAGGACAGAAAAATTGTCTAAACACATTCACATCATGTCACAAAAGGCTGCAGCTCAAATAACATAATAATTAAGTTCCAAAAGACTTGTCCTGATGACACTAAATTCACATCATTGTTTAATTTCTACTGACATGAGCTAGTAACACTAAATAAGTTCCAAAATACTGTTGTTCTGATGACAGATCAAGTTGGTTGGGAGGCAGAAACACCCTTCCTAGCCCTCTTAGAAGTTCTTGTTTGCTGTGATGTTGAAGCAAGTGTAGCTGGGTCTGGTTGAGACATTGAAACACCTTTTTTGGGCTTAGTCTTCTGCTGCTCTTCTGCCATGCTTGCTTTCTCTTTACCAGTTAATCCTCCTTGGCATGTGACCTTGTTATGACCAAAGTTGCCACATTTACTGCATCTAATAGTCTTAGATCTCTTCCCTTTTGCTTGTTCACCTTCCTCCCTCCTCCTATTTCTTGCTGGCCTCCCAATTCCTCTTTGCATAGGTGGGGGCTGAATGTCTGGGTAGGTGTTAACTGACCACTGTTCTACATCAGGGATGGCCTTGATATTGTTTTTGTAAGTGAGCTTGTATCTCCTAACTGAGTACCATTCACTCACATACTTGTGAGGATCATCATTGGAGTGATAAATGGCCCTCATTGCATGTTTACATGGCAAACCAGATATCTGCCATGCATTACAAGCACAGGTTTTCTCCCTTAAGTTCACTGGAAGAACAGATTTCCCATCTAATACCTCAAACTCACCATCTCCAGACAACAAACATTTGCAAGATCTAGACTCTTTGCTAATAACCTGAAGTCTCTTGATAATATTTGGACAGAGATCATCTCTCCAGCTCTCACATTGCTCCTTTCTTGTTTCCATTCTCACCATTGTAAGTCTTCTAACACCTGCATCATAAAAGAACCATACATGTTAACAGTGTACTGATGTGTGTACATGATAACAATTAGCATCTTAAGTTAAGGAAATTACCTTCAAGCAAAGTAAGCACAGGTCTGCATCTATCAATGCCCAATGTGGCATTGAAACTTTCTACAAAATTAGACTTATTCACATCAGACTTGATAGCAGGGTTGAAGGCATGCTTGGACCAGACAGATTGTGGACCTAATTTTGACAGCCATTCTAAAGCTAAAGGATTAGCTTTTTTCAGAGCTTCAATTGCCTTTCTGAATGTGAAAGGGTTATAAGCTCCAGCTGCCTTCCTGAAAAGTTGGAACATAAGCAAGCCTGGTGATGAGTCTATTTTATATATATTTTTATTCCCTGTCCCACGGTCATATTTGTGCTTATTTGAGCTCTAAGGAGCTATTTTTATTACTAATATATGTTTTCTAGTGTTTTTGTAGAGTTGGTATATTTTTGTAGGAATTTGCAGATTTATGATAATTCCCGAGCTTATTGAGCCACTACGAAGATATTGGAGTTGGATCGTATTTTATGATCGGATATTTTAGCCCAAGGCCGAGCTAGAGAAATTAAATTCGGTGTTTAAGGGCTCAGTTAAATGAAAGAGGTATGGAGTTTTCGCAAGAAACACAGACTAATTAATTGAGAATTGGAGCTTAAGTCAACAAGCTTCAATCCAAAACCCATTTCACGCAAAAGGAAGAAGCCCAGCTAGTTTCCAACTCGTTGGGCCCAATTAGGCGAGAAGGCTTCTTGAGTGTTTGATGTTTGCGAAGTTGGTTGAACAGTAGGCTGTTATAAAGGCCCAATTATTTTGGCAACCTTTAGACGGGATTTTCCGTGGCTTTTTATTTAGCCCCTTTGGGTTTTGTTAAGAGTTTTATTTTAGTTAGGATTAGTTTTTCCTAAGCTTATAATTAAGATAAGATTCTTAAATCCTTATAAAAGGATGGAGTACGTAGATTTAGACCATGTAGTTTTTACTTTTTAGTTTTCTTTTTCTTTAGTTTAGTTTAGTTTTCTTTTCATATCAAGATTTTATTATTTTGTTTCCTTATTACTTTTATACTATTATTCTCTTTATATTAATTATGTGTGAGTAGTTTCCTTTCTAGGATTTGTGGGGATCCATAAATAATATGAAGGGGTAATTTATTGCTGTTAATTGTCAATGCTAGATTAATTTCTTATTGATTGATTTAATGCTCTGTGACTAGATTTGTGTAGATCTTTTATGCATGAGTTTAACAATATTGATTCAAGATTCGACAGATGAGAATTGATGTTTAGGTCTAGTTTCAATAGGCAGGTTAATTTATAAATGGTTAAGTCGAGATTCGAGAGATGAGATTTATTACCGGTAAATTAATTGTGTGATCGTAATACGTAGCGAAAGCCTTTTATGATCTGATTAATGTATGCATTGATGATTGATTATTATGTTTTACCTTGGAATATTATTTATTGGTGAACTTATGCCCTAGGCCTTTTATTCATTGTTTCTCCTCCTACTTTTATTCTTTCCCACTTTTACTCTTCGTAGTTTAGTTTCCTTCGATCATTATATTTTGGTTACTTTATAATCTAGATTATATTAATTAATTAATTAGGAATAGAAAGACTCGTTTCTCTGTGGATTCGACCCTACTTCCCTATCTACATTAGTTAGAGGATTTAGGAATTACTTTTGATTAGGGGATACGACTTTACCCTGTCACCTGGGAACTGAGGTTTAAAGTTCTTCACAAGATGCTTGCAGCAATATCTCCTTCACACTTTAGGTGACAACTCAGTGATTGCCACATCTATGCCCTATACAAACAATTAGTATGTCATATTAGTTTGTGAAACTTATCAAAATAGTTAAAAAATACAAAAAAAAAAGCTGTAAAAGGTTACCTTTTGTCTATCAGACATGATACACCACTCATCACCTCTGCTACTGTCTTTTAATGCATTCTTCAAGTGCCAGATAAAGAATTTCCAGGTCTCACTGTTCTCCCCTCTAACAATAGCCCAGGCCACTGGAAAAATTTCATTATTGGCATCCAATGCAACAGCTGACAGTAAACAACCCCCATAATTCCCTTTAAGGCGGGCTCCATCAACACCTAATAGGCTTCTGCAACCATTAATTAACCCATCTAGAACAACTTTGAAGCAAATAAAGATACTACTAAATGCTAAAGGGCTCTCTGGGTGATTTGGAGGATTCTAAACAGGGTGAGCTATTGAGTCTGAGTTCAAGCTTTTAAGTACATCACAGTACCTAGGAAACAGGGTGTATGACTCATCATGACCCCCATGAATTTCATTCAAAGCCTTAGTTCTTACCCTACAAGGTAGACAGTGCCATTTCCACCCCATATCTTTGCCATAACAATTGATTCAATGACTTAGCAGGAATGTCATTGTGTGCCCTAATATCATCAAGAAGAACCCTTTTTTCCCACTTCACATTCACCATGTTGTTCCTGGAGCCTAATCCTTACATGTGTTTCAGAGTTCTAAATTAGCTTGATTGCCCAAGTAATACCATTAGGCAGAACTGATCCATGCAATCTCCATTCATAATGAGCATCTGATCACCTCACAGTGTACCTAGTGTTGTTGGCATAATCCACAATAACTGCAAAACCACATTGAATGCAGTAGTCTCTAACAACATCTCTTAGATGCTGTTTGTCAGTGAAGAGTTGCCACTCTTTCAGAACAATTCTCCCAAAACCTTCATCTTTGAAGACTTCTGCATTATTGTACAACTTTGCTAAGTAGTTTTCCTCATCTTTGTCACACTCAAAGATATGTTCCTCAAAAGGATCCCATGAATCTTCAATCTTTGGACCATATTCATCTTCAGATAATTGCTCTTCTATGTCCACACTCTCAACTGTATCATCATCACTGTCATATGGCTCATAGGCCCTATCTTCTTGCTCATTAGCTTCATCAGCATCCTGCTCATCATGTACAGACAAGCTCTCACTCCCATTTAATCCAACTGACACACTTAAGGCCCTACTTCCTACCCCAGATTGAATATGCTGGTCACTGTCACCTCCACTTGTACTCGAACTTATTACAATGCCTTTCCTCTTTGCTGTAGTCCTAGGCACTCTTTGCCTCTTAAAGAAGACTGACCCCATGTCAGATTTTGATGAATTTGATGTCTACCCAACTCCATGCTCCCCAACATTTACCATAGGAGGTACAACAGACTGGGTTGATGGTTGAGGTTGAGTTTGTTGGTTGCTAAATTGAGGTTGGTCGTAAGATTCAAGCTTAGAGGTAAGAATTTGTACAGAAATAGGCTCATCAGGCTGCCATGGGGTTGGGGAAATACTAAACCAGTTTTCTAAAGCATTCCCTCTCCCTCTACCTCTTCCAGTTCCCCTCCCTCTCCCTCTTGGCATCCCTACATTATCAGCATGCTCTCCAACCTCTCCCTCTCCCTGTTCCCCTCCCTCTACCTCTTGACCTCCCCCTACCTCTCCATATCCCAGTCAACTCTTGCTCAGCAATAACATCTGATATATAGATAAGAGTTGTCAAAAAGTAGTATGACATGAGAAATTGGCCTGAAACCAACCAAAATCCATTCCAAGTATATCCAAAAAAAATTGAGCCTTTTCAAACTAACTTAAATCAAAATTGACTTTTACTCGTTGTAAATCAATAAAAATACAACCTTAACCCAGACCAATGCTAATTAAACCTATGATTGACCTGTATCTAAAAACCACTATTAAACAATAAAGGTTGTTATACACATTCGGATTGCTCAACTTGAAGATTAAAGGAGATTATTGTTCATTTAATCATCAAATGAACAAAAAATAACATTGGATAGTACAACATGTCTATATAAATTTTCATAAAAATAATCACTTGCTACCAAAATCAAAAGGCTTGATTGGTATGGGATACAAACTAATTTATTTTACTTTTTTCCATTTATATACTAAATTGCCTATTTCTTAAGCAAAGCTTAAAATTATTTTTGCCCCCTCCACATTATGCTAGTTCTCCTCCATAATGTTTTGTTTTTTGTTTTTTTTTTTTGAAAAAGCATAGTTGTTTATTCTTAGAAGCAAATTAAGCTTTCCTTCCAAATAAAAAAAAAAAAACAAAACAAAAAAAAAAAACAAAAACAAATTAAGCTTAATTTGACTGGTGAAAACAAATGTTTTAAATTTTGAAAATTATTAAATGGTCTTAGAATTGTACAAGTAATTAAGTTGGTCTCATTTCATTTTCTGTTGACTTAGTTATTAAATGTTTTCTAAAATTATTAAATGGCCTTAATTATTACGTACTCCATAGTATTATTTTGCTTGTAGGGAAAATGTGTTAATCTGATAAGCATTCATAATTAAGAATGAAGAAAATTCCAGCAAGATATAACTAAGTGATATTGACTTAATAATAATGGAGATATTCAAAATGATTAAAGTGATTGATATTATTATCTTAGTCTTATGTCAAAGCTGATCATATTAGAGCAACATTACAACATGTCAACATGTATATATCATTATTATATCCTAAAAAAACTTACATATGCCTTTTTTTTTAAGGGTAATGATATATATAACCCTTAGGGCTATGTATAACCGTATAAGCATTAAATATACTTCTTTAAATAGACTTAAGTTGGGAATTCATGATAAATCACGCGCAAATCGGTGTGATTAATGTTAATCTATCCTTAATATTTCCTTTTTTTAAGCTTCTTATACATAGCCCATTTATCATTTTTCTTTTTTTATTTTTATTTTGCTAAAATGCTTTCTATGGTCATCATTTGATAATTACCCTTATGTATATGTATTTTAGTAACGATACGATACCAACAACTAGTGTTATACTAATACACATTAATTTTCAAGTAATTTTCAAGCAACTATTTTATCTCCAAAGATTCCTCAAGGAGTTAATGCAACTTAATAATCTGATCTTAACACTTTGCTCTGTTCACTTGTATTGTAATGACATGTTTGACCACTTGGAATCTTTCATTTTCATTATGCACTAGTGTAAATTACAAAAATCTAATATTTGGAACAGTACACATTCTAACAAGATTTTTATGTTAATAATTTTTTTTTAAATTTTTTTTATGTTGGTAAGCAATGTTGAATAACATCTTTTAAGTGCCTTTTTTTTTATTTTTTTTTTTTATTTTTAAATGTTGGTAAGCAATGTTGAATAACATCTTTTATCAGTATTAATATACTTGTATTAGGTTTGACCATAATTTTTAAATAACGTAGTAGAAAATAAATTATTTTGGGATAGATGGAGTATAGTTTTTTATACGTAGTGTGTGTATATATATATATATATATATATATATATATATATATATATATATATGAGAACTGATATAAAGTTTTAGAACATATGAGTAAAAATTTAGAACATACGAGTAAAAATTAAAAACATGTCACTCAAATGAAATTTAGAACATATGAGTAATAACTTAGAACATCTGTGTGAGTAATAATTTACAACATTTTATTTAAGAATTGGGACATATGAGTAAATATTTAGAAAATCTATTTTATGAACTTTGGGATATACAAGTAAAAATTAAAAAATCTGATTTAAGATTTAGAACATGTGAATAAAAATTTAGAACAACTGATATATAATATACAAATATAAGTAAAAATTTAGAACATACAAGTGAAAATTAGAATATATGCTTTAAAATTTAAAACATATGATTAAAAACTTAGAACACACGTTTTAAAATTTAGAACATGTAAGTTAAAATCTTGGAACAAGTTATTTAAAATTTATAACATCTAACTTTACTAACTTATGGTTTAGAATATGGGAATACTAATTTAGAGTATTTGATTTAATTTAGAATACTAAGTAAATAGTTAGAACATTAGATTTAAAATTTAGAACATATAAAGTGTTCTCATATAAAAAAGGGTTCTCACATAAAAAAGGGATTCTTACAAGAGCTTTCCTCCATACATATAATGAATGTAAATTTTTTGTAAATAATGAAGGAAGAAGTGTTATTGATTATTGGATATGTTATGGTAATAGATCAAGAATCTAACCCATGCTCACACCTAGTTTTTAATTTTTTATGCAGTGAAAAAGCAATTGAACATATGGGCTATGGCTACTAGGCAATGAACGGACTTTTTCATAAACTTTTTATAGAAAATCAAAATCTGTCAAAACCCCAAACGTAGACTAATAGACTAATTCAATGAGACCCAAAGTGTTTTTTGTTAGCCCAAATTATTTGTCAAAAGCCCAAGAGTAAGCTAAGAAATTGTACGGCTAAATCGCCTGGATTTTCGTTGCCTCTTGAGATCAGCTAGGATAGAATTGATTACTCTGTCCTGTAGAATAAAAGCAGTCTGATGTAATGGACTTACTGAAAAATGATTTTGGCACGTCTATCGGGAAAACATACATTTTTTTTCATGCCTTTTTTTTTAATAATTTTATTTATATGTGGCTGGACACACCGTATGACCGGGCCGGGGTTACTTGTAAGGGTTACTTTATATATATATATATATATATATATATATATATATATATATATATATATATATATATTTCTTTTTTTTAACGGGTAGGGGTTACTTATTCTGGGGTTACTCGTTTGGTCGAGGGTAAATTATAGGGTTATTTATTCAAACACTCGACCGGTCAAAGGTTACACTCACACTGAAAACGAGCTGAATGACCGAGTAAGTAAAAACCCCTAAAAGTAACCCCTTAATAAGTAACCTCCGAATAATAATAATTTAATAGTAATAGAAATAGTAATAAGGACATTTTGTGAAAAACTACCTTTTAAACTTTGAATTTTGCGAAAAAACTACCCTAAAAACAAAATGTTGTAATTAACTACCTTATAAAGTATAAAATGTTGCAATTAACTACCTTATAAAGTATAAAATGTTGTAATTGACTACCTTCCACCGGAATAACACATTTGATTTTTATATTCCGGTGTTGAACATGTCATGTGAGGGTCACATGACCCTTTAATGACTTAATTCCCCCTTTTCTCCTAAATTTTCCCGCTTTATACCAACTCTTTTCTTTAACAATAAGATTAATCATATTTTATATTGTTTATTTGCAACCCATTTGATAATTATATGGGCTGAATTGGTGTAAAACGGGAAAATTTGGGAAAAAGAGGGGAATTAAGTCATTAAAGGGTCACTTGACATGGTCAACGTTGGGAAATAAAAGTCAAATGTGTCATTCCGGTAAAAGGTAGTCAATTACAACATTTTATGTTGTATAAGGTAGTTAATTACAACAACAATAATATAATAATAATAAAATCTGCTCTACTATGCTAGGCTCGGCTCTACTCTGCTCTGCTTCAATTTGCTCAGCTGAAATCTGCTCTGCTCCGCTTTATCCAGAAGCTCAAAAGAATAGGGATGAAGTCATAAACACTACTAAAATCAGGTCGATTCCACCATCGGAAAATATGCACTTTTCGACGGAAATATTCTGTCGAAAAATTAAATTTCTGACCGAATTTCTATCCCTTGGAGTCTAATTAAAAAAAAGGAAAAATCGTAATTAAACAGCCAACCCCCCTCCCCCTTTTCATTTCCGCCCCCTTCTTTCCCATACTTCTTCTCCTTTTCATTTTTTCTCCTCTCCTCTTATCTTCTTCTCGATCTTCTCCTTTTCTCTCTTCTTCTCAATCTTCTCCTTCTCTTTCTCTCTCATCTCCACCTTCCTCCTCTGTCTTGTTTCTCGGTATTCCTCTCACTAGGTGAAAAATAGTGATCCCCACTGGTTCAAAAACCACATTTGCCACCAGTTTTGAACCGGTGGGCATTTGAAGGGTGGGAATTGTGCATCACAAAGCCACCAGTTCAAAATCGGCGGCAAAACCACTTAAAGCCACCGGTTAACCGGTGGCAAAAAACCTTCCCGCTTTATTTTTTTTGTGTATTAAATATAAATGCCACCGGTTAATCGGTGGCAAAAAACCTTCCCGCTTTATTTTTTTGTGTATTAAATATAAATGCCACCGGTAAACCGATGGCAATGTACATGTAACTTTTTTTTTTTATCTTTATCAAAAAGAAATATAATAGAACAATTGAATAAAAAAAAATTACAACATCAAACTATAAATCGAACAATATCAATCAATATAATAGAAAAACTACAACATATGATCAAAAAAAAAAATTACAATATAAATCAATAAAATCGAACAATTACAACATATAAATAATAATAAAAAAAATTACAATATAAATATATAAAAAAAAATTTACAATATCAAAATAAAAAAAACCCCATACAACATCTAAGTCAATATTCTTGCATCTTGACTTTTCGATTTAAGATCTAAATCAATATAATTGCAACAATTAAAACCAAAACAATAAATCGATTAACAAAAATAAGTTGTGAAAAAAATTACAAAAAAACCTCTGAACACTATGCATGTACCCATAAATTGATTAAAATCAGTTTAAAAAAATCCAGAAAAAAAACCCACAAAAATAAAAACAAAAACCCAGAAATTAGTTAAAAACCCAGGAAAAAAAAACCAGAAATTGATTTTCGAGAACTCAGAAAAAAAAACCAGAATTAAAATCACAGAAGGAGATTAAATTAAAATCGATTAAAAAAAAAAATCAGAAAATACCAAAATCGATTTATTAAACCTAGAAAAATCAATTAATTAAACACTGAAAAATCCAAAAATCGATCAACTAAACCCAGAAAAATCGATTAAAATCCAAAATCGATTAATTCAACCCAAAAATAAATCTAGAAAAATCGATTAAAATCAAATTAACCCCAAAAATTGAACCCTAACCTCGAATAATTTTGGATTAAAATCGAATTAAACCCTAACCTCGAATAATTTTGGATTAAAATCGAATTAAACCCTAACCTCGATTAAATTCGGTGTTGCTCATGCATGTGTTCGTGGTGTTATTGTTGTGGTGGTGGTCTTGGTGGTCTCGGCGGTGATGGAAAAGTCGATGTTTCTCATGCATGTTATTGTTGCAGTGGTGGTCTTGGTGGTCTTGGAATGAAAGAGAAGGAGAAGGAGACGAGAAGGAGA